CGGTTTTACCTAGGGCAAGCTTCGACAGACCGTCGGAGCGATACTGGGAGACAGGCTCGCATGGGATTAGGCCGAGTAGGCGGACGAAAAGAAGTGTGCAACGCAACAACAGCCTAGCGACCCAGCATCGGGGATCCGCATAGGTTGATCCGCGTATGGTGTGCATCGTGTAGTGTGAGCACGGTGCCTCCCTCCGCGGGTAACTTTCTTGTATAGCTGGCGACGACCCCAAGCATTGCTGGCCTAGCTCTTCCGCACACGACTTGTCTTCACTCTTCAAGCTGCATCTGAACATCAATCTCCAGAGGCTGTTGAGGATACTCGACATTTCCCACCTACAAAGGGACTCCACTCTACGTCGTTCCATCGTGTCGCAGACCCCGTGTTCCCTTGACGACTTGGCAGCCAAGAGCATTGCGGCTCTTGAACAAGCCTTCTACGCAACCCAAGATGTACGTAACTGCTGATCCGTCATTCAATCCATCCATTCCTTCGCGCCCCACAGGCTCCCCGACTGCTGTCCGCCGTGCGTCCGTCAAGTTAGCATCCATGGGGCGGCGCCGTGCACGATGGCTTGTCTTTGCTCACGCTAGAGAGCACTGCCACCATCACCATCGTCGTTCCCCGCGTGGGACCGCGAGAAGGCCCCATATTGCCACTACTACGCAGAGCCGTCCGCAATGCTGACCAAGGGCGCGCGCTATCCAGTTGCTTCCTATCGCCGTTGTCTAGTTGCACCACCACAGCCCCCCGTCCATCTGAGACAGTTGCGCGTCGCCGTTGCGTGCGCCAGCCCTGAAGCGACCGCCCGAGAACCACAACATCATACGCCGGACACCTGACCGCGTCCTTCATCGTCCCCGTTGCGCCTACCGCCGTGCCTAATCACGCCAGCTCGTTTCTGCGATTCACCCGTCGCCAGCCAGCCAGCCAGTCGCGCGTGCTTCCCGATACCGGTACCTACACCTCACACCCCTGCGCAATAGCTCTTCTCGGCCCTTCCAGCGGCGAGCTCGGTTTGGCGCCTCTGTATAGTCGCGAGGGCTCCCCCAGACAGTTGTCGATATCGCGGGCAGCCGCATGATGTGCGTGGTACACGGAGTATGACTTCCAGCCAGACACGTACACCCGCCACTCCGTCCTCTCCAGTGTCGAGCAGATCGTTTCTATCTCGGCTCAAATCGCCCTTGACCTCCAAGACTCGCTACTACACCGAGTTTTATATCCAGTCTGACGACCCGCATCGGCATTACACTCCTGGAGATATCATCAGCGGAACTGTCATTATCAAGATTGTCAAACCCCTGAGAATCACTCATTTGGTCGTCTCCCTACATGGCTATGCCCAGGTGTTCAAGAATCCAAATACTCCGGGGGACGCGTACAAGAACTATTGTTCAACAGTCGGCTCTGGGAGAGGAAAGAAGGCAGGCAGTTACTTTGGCAATGGGTTCGTTTCCCTGTTCGAGGACGAGGTTGTGCTTTGCGGCGAGGGGAGACTGTCCGAGGGCGTGTACCACTTCAATTTCGAACTCGAGTTTCCGTCCAAAGGCTTGCCCAGCAGCATCGACGTAAGCAATAAGCCAGTGCTGTGATTGACCAATACGCTGACAATAAGGCACAGTTTGAGCGCGGAACTATTTCCTATATGCTCAACGCTACCTTGACTCGCCCCACTACCATGTCTCCGACCGCGTCATGCGATACGAAGGTTTACCTCACCGAATCAGTCGACATCGCACCCGTACCGCCACTAAAGCCCCGTGTCATCTCATTGGAACCTATATCTAGACGAACGCGTGCTAGGTCAACGCGGAAACGGCCAACCGAGGAAGCATCACACACACCTTCTGCTTCAGAACCTCAGCCAGTAGGGTCTTCTTTGGAAGCAACGAATACCATCGAGGAGACAGAGGGTCCACGAAGCCCCTCACCTAGCGACGTGAGCTATGAGAGTCAGAGGAGTAGCGGGAACGCTTCTGGCACTGAGTATGGCATTCGCTCAGTCAACACAGCTACAGATGGATCGGGCTCACAGAATGGAAGCCGGACGACCCTGAAAGGAAAGACGATTACAGCTACAATCGACGTACTCAAGGGAGGCTTTCTTAGAGGCGACCAAATACCGATTAAAGTGACCGTAAACCATACAAAGCACATACGGAGCCTGAAAGGCATTATCATCACGCTGTATCGTCAAGCGAGAGTTGATATGCATCCTGCACTACCTGTTGTACCCAACAGCAAAGGCGACAAGACCAAATCCGAAGATTACTATCCAAAGTCAAGAACTGGATTGGGGGGCTTGTCGCTCTCATCGGCTGGATCTAGTCATTTGTTTCGCAAGGATCTATGCCAATCGTTCGCACCTCTCTTCGTCGATCCTAGGACGTTAATGGCCGAAGTGAAGTGTACAGTGCGTGTGCCCGATGAGGCATTTCCCACAATATCAAATGTTCCGGGCGCAATGATATCCTTCAAATACTACGTCGAAGTAGTCGTGGATATACAGGGCAAATTGACAGGCCTCGACCGAATGGTATCTAATGCTGGACTTGTCAACCTACCTTCAGCAGCTGGTGGTACCTCGGCTATGGCACGCGACGATGCTACTGGCAGCATGTTCTCGACCTGGGGCGGCAATTTTGTGGATACCGATCAGATTCGCCGCGAAAAGGGCATCGTTTCTGCTTTGTTCGAAGTTGTTATCGGTACCAGGGATAGCGATAGAAATGGCAAGAAGAAACAAACTCAAGAACAAATAGTCGACAACAACGGCGCCTACGGGGGGCACATGGAGCCGAACGCTGAACACGGCTACGATCAGTACTATTACGAGCAAGACGAGAACGGACAGTATTACGATTACAACTACGATCCAACGTATTATGAAGTTCCTGGGTACGAACAACATAGTACAAGCGGAGCTGCATCCTTCCCGGTACCTGCAGCTGTTCCCGAGGAAGAACAAGGAATGTCAGAGAAAGAGCGATTACGAAGAGCAGAGGAGCGTTTGTTGCCTTCTCAGCCGCCTGATACTGCCGGACCATCTGCGCCTTCAGGAACGGTCCAATACGGTATACCAGCGTCGGCGCCATTGTTACCGGAAGACGACGATCCAAACCCCGCTTATGTCGCAGCATCTTCGTCTTCTTCCACTCCGGCGCATCCCCCACCCCCATTCCGTGCTGCCTCGTCGCCATTATTATTGTCGCGCACAACTCCGGCACCGCTCTTGCAGCGTCGTGTTACGAACATCACGGACGATGAGACAAGAACCATAAGGACTGAATCCTCGCATACCATACATCCAAATCGCCTAGAACCATCCACTAGTGAAGATAACAACGACCAGTCGAAACCACTACCGCCGCTACCACCGCAGTCACCCAGCACAGTACAAGGGTCGGCGCCTGAGTACGTCGCTAGCTCATCATCACATGTCGAACCAACCGACGACAAGCAAGAGTTGACACGGCGGAGACTGGAAATGGAAAGAAGCGCGCCCCCTCTGGATCATGATGAAGACGGGGAACCATCGCACGCTCCTTCAGCACCACCGCTAGACAGAATGCAAAGCTTACAGTTGGCACCTTCGGCACCTATGCTGAACGACGACGACGAAGATCTGGTAGGTGCTGTGCGTCCAGGCCGAAGTACGCAAGGTACGCTACAGGACCACAGACGGGAAAGCGAAGCCTTGCCAGAGTACCGGAGGTGACATGCATGATGTTGGCGTTTATGGTGTTTGGGCAGTGACTGTATAGACTTGAGCGTTGCGCGTAGCCTGAGTCTACCTGGATGATTTGGTAATCTTTTTCAAAGCGCAAGATGATTGGAATGTGTTGGGTGGTTTGTCATTATGATACCTGGAATCGAACTATATTATCTTCATATCTGGTGTCTACTTACTAGCACATTTTATTGTTGTTTTCCAGTGACTTTGCCCTCAACGCTTCGAATGGGAAACCAAATCCTGTGAAGGAGTGCTCTTCTTGCAAGAAGGTTGCATGCCCTTGGTGTTCCTAGACGTATCGGGATCACTTCATTTCCCTCAGTCGGCGATCAATGACCGCCTCAAGATCACGAGAGTGCGCATCGTAGATCTTTTGCAAGCTTGCCAACTGCTTTCTCATAGCGATTTCAATGGCAGCCTTCTGGTCCAAGAGTTCTTGGAGGCGTTTGAGCTGCGCTTGGTGGGCTGTTGTACTGAGGTATTGTCAACCTGCGGGGTTGCACCATCTCTTTAATACTGCGTGACCCACATCTCTCTTACATGTGTGTCAAAGACGGTGTTTATGGAATCTTCGACGCTTTGGTAATGGTTGTTGTAAGCTCTACCTACGTTGTTCTTTGACGCGCCGTACCGCCGGCGTTGCTGCGCGCAGAATTAGCATGTTGCTTCTCAAAGCCTCTTAATCAGGCGTGCTATGCCACTGGTAGAAATGTAGAGACGGTGATATATAGTTGATGATTCCATTTAACATACGTCGTCTACCATTTTCGCCACCAGGTGGTCCAGCGGGCCATCGGAGGTGTTCTGCGATGCTTCCGTCTCTTCGTGTGTTGCATTTACATCGCGACCCACACCATTGGCTTCTGCAGAGTTTTCGAGCTCCTCTGTTTCACCGGTAATCTGTCTTCGAGACTGCTGTGCACTCCCGCGAATGGTGGCCATGGAGGCGGTCATGGAAGTGGATTTCTCGGGTACGCGCGTCGGAGCCATGGGTGTTGGTGGTGAGTGCTGAGAATTAGTAGCGTAGATCAAGACTGCGATCGATTGACTCGTTATCGAAGCATTATTCCTTGCTTCAGCTCAAGTGGTGAGGACTTGCCAATTGGAGGGCAATGGTTGGAGCCTTGGAGATGGGAGAGATGGCTTCCCCACATAGCGCCAAGATTCCGCGCTAGCGGGCATCCACAAATTTTTGGTCGTGTTTGCGGACTCCCACCTTTCCCTTCGACAATCGCAACCTCGTCCAGTCTGTTCAATATCTACCATGGGTCTCGCAGCGCCGAAAAAGTATGTCTGCCAGTTTGGCTTCGGCCAACCTCCACCAAACTAACGCAAGACCAGCCGAACGAAGATCTCGAACGATCCCCAGAACACTAACTGGGCAAACAACACCTCGCGCTTCGGCCATCGCATATTGACCTCGCAAGGATGGCAGCCCGGAAACTCTCTCGGTGCGACGGATGCCTCCCATGCTGCTCATTATACCGCCGCCTCGCAATCGCATATTCGCGTGTTTCTCAAAGACGATAATCTTGGCTTGGGCGCAAAGCGAGGGAGTGAGCGCGCGGAAAACTTTGGTCTCGCAGGACTAGAGAGCATTCTTGGGCGTCTGAATGGCAATGAGGCCGAGGTCAAGAAGGAAGAAGAAAGGCGAGAGGAGATTGAGAAAAGGGCGTTCGTGTACCGCAAGTACGGCATGATGAATTTTGTTAGCGGCGGTTTTCTGGTGGGCGACAAGATCACGAAGAGCTCCGATATCAAGAAGGAAGTGGAGATCAAGTCTGAGATCAAGTCTGAGCCAGAAAGCGGCGACGGCGCATTGGACAAGAAAGATAAAAAGAGGAAGCGCGATGACCGCACCGACGACGAGCTCAAGGTGAAGCGCAAGAAGAAGAGCGAGGACTTGCGCGACGAAGCAGAGAAGGGAAGCGACAAGTCGAAATCGAAGAGGGACAAGAAGGACAAGAAAGACAAGAAGGATAAGAAAGATAAGAAGAAGGACAAGTCGAAGAAGTCAAAGCGCGCGTCCTCATCAGACGCGGAATCCTCCACCGACGATGTCGCTGCTCCGGCATCTGATCCCGAACCGCTTACGGACAAAGAGCAACGGAAAGCTGAGAAGAAAGCACGCAAGGAGGAGAAGAAAGCCAAGAAGGCTCTGAAGAAAGCAGCCAAGAAAGCAGCGAAAAAGGACAGCTCGGACGACTCCAGCTCTGAAAGCGAGGAAGACGAGAGCACGCCGACAACGATTTCGTCGGTTCCTCTGTCAAAAACATCCACATTGGTACCTGCTGGTTTATCATACACTCCAAGAGGCATGCATGCTGTTAGGCAGAAATGGATCCGTCAGAAGAAGGCTGCGACTATGGATGCACAAGCCATGAAAGAGGTATGTCTATATTTTCTAATTGTTACTTGATCTCTGCTAATACGTTTGTAGATTTTTATGATCAAAACACCATCATAGATTCCTTCCATCCGAACTGTACATGCATAGCGAGGAGTTATTGGATTTGGTTGTTGGGCAGGCACTTGCTAGAATCATATTTACAATCTGGAGATCATTATACGGGACATACGAATGCCTGCCACCAACGACAATTTTAGGCTATAGTCTTGATGCTTGTGTCTCGATTGCGTTGCCTGTTGTGGCTGTGCCTCGCGTTAATGTCGGATTCCGACGATTTGTCGGACCCCGACGGCTACGTCGTCCTATCGTGCTCCTTGCGGTTTACAGTTAACATGATGTGAAAGTTCCCCGCATCTAAACTATCAGTCTCTAGTGTCATGCCACTGGGCCGCTTTTTCAGCTTACTGCGGCTGCGAAGGACGAGCGCGGAAAGGCAAGGGGCTGCCTTGATATTGTTGTTCGCGTGACTGTGCCGAAGAATGCGAAGTAACTGCAGCCCACGACTGCGCCAACGTCCAGCACTACGTCGTGTTACGCAGTACAGACGTAATGCGAGATGGTGACGGCAGTGCATGTCTTGGAAATGTCCGCGCAGCCATAGGGCGGTTCTAGAAAACAGGGATGTAAGATTAACCCCGACAGTTCCTGCATGGTGGAGCTGATCAACTAGTCCGCCGTAGACTTAGCCCATGTATAATGACCTCGCCCAAGTTTGGTACATGGCCCGACCGTTGAGCACGACGCCTCCTTTGCCATAGGCAGTTTCTTAATCCTTCCACTCACGTTCTCTTGTTGCTTTCACTTTTCTTCTTTTCTCAGCCATGGCGGCAAACAGCAGCATGCGTAGGAATACTGTTGTCGCGCCACGTAAGACGACTCTTTCCAAAAGGCCCAAATCATGGCTAACCCAAACGCAGCGAGCCTTCACCCGCGCACGTCGTCGCATTCCACTCAAACACCCGAACCCTCGCCCATAGACTCGATGCCCGCGCAATTGGGCTCTAATATGCCTTCCATGTCCACCACAAAGCCGAATGGCGCTCCGGCATTGCTCAGGAAGCAGTCGTCGCCTATGATGCCTCCTTTCATGGTTTCCGCACCAGGCAAGGTCATCGTCTACGGAGAACACGCGGTAGTACACGGCAAGGTAGGTTCGATACGACAACCATGGCAAGATGGATGCTGATGTTCTCTAGGCTGCTATCGCCGCCGCCATATCGCTCCGATCCTATCTCCACGTCTCGTTTCTCTCCAAATCGAATCGGACCGTTAAGCTGCGCTTCCCCGACATACAGATGGAGCATACCTGGAACATCGACGACCTGCCCTGGGACAGCTTCTCTAAATCAGGCAAGAAGAAGTACTACTATGACCTCGTCACGTCTCTAGATCCCGACCTTATGGCCGCCATACAACCCTTTATCGATGAAGTCTCGCCAAAAGCCCCCGAGTCGATACGCAAGATCCACCATGCCTCTGCATGTTCTTTCCTATACCTCTTCCTTTCTCTCGCATCCCGCAAAGTTCCCCCGTGTGTTTATACCCTACGATCTACAATTCCCATTGGTGCAGGCCTGGGCAGCAGCGCCAGTATATCCGTCTGTCTGAGTACGGCAATGCTTCTGCAGATACGTGCACTCAGCGGACCCCATCAGGATCAGCCGCCACAAGAATGCGAGCTCAACATTGAGCGCATAAACCGATGGGCGTTCGTCGGCGAGATGTGCATACACGGCAATCCCTCGGGCGTTGACAATACCGTCTCCTCGGGTGGTAAAGCAGTCTTGTTCCAGCGAAGGGATTACGACAAGCCACCTCTAGTCATACCGCTGCATAGCTTTCCTGAGCTTCCACTGCTGCTTGTCAACACACGACAATCTCGCAGCACGGCCACCGAAGTCGCCAAGGTCGCCAACCTACGCAACGTGCACCCTGCTCTCACAGAGAACATCCTCAATGCCATCGGCTTAGTGACCGAATCTGCACACAAACTACTCACATCACCGGACTTCGACGCAACCTCCCCCGACGCACTCAAACACCTCGGCGAACTCGTCACGATAAACCATGGTCTACTCGTCTCATTAGGCGTCTCACATCCCAAACTCGAGCGTATCCGCGAAATCATCGACCACACTGGTATCGGGTGGACAAAGCTCACAGGCGCGGGAGGCGGAGGATGCGCCATTACTATCCTCAAGCCCCAGCCCCCAGCGCTGACCAACGGCCACGCAAATGGTCTACACCACGATATCTCATCTGACGAATCTGACACGTCTGATGAAGCGGATATCGACTGCGGCGCATCCATAATATCTAATGGTACAAAGCTGAAATACAAGATTCTTGACTCCCTCGAGGTAAAGCTGGAGAATGAAGGCTTTGAGAAGTTTGAAACGACGCTTGCTGGTGACGGCGTGGGTGTGCTTTGGCCTGCAGTACTACACAATGGCAACGAAGAGGAAGGCGGGGAGGAGATTGACCAGGAAAAGTTTCTTCGGGCTGAAGGCACTATCGGCATTGAAAGACTGGTCGGAGTGTCGAGTTCGAGACGGAAGGGTGTTCGAGAAGTTAGAGAAGGGTGGAAATTCTGGAGGCCCTGGGAGGTTCCTGAGCGGTAAATCTGGATCTCTTCTCTTAATCAACCTTTTTGCTGATGGTGTGTTGTGGCAACGTTCAAGCAGGTCTTAGGTTTCGTCTTCTGTTCATACTTCCTTGTTTGTTTTGCTGCATGTGGGGGATCTATTATGTTTTGAGCCTCAAGGAGGCGTGAAGGGAAGGGTTATAGGATTAATGTCTTGCACATGAGATGGCTAATACGATCCGGCTGCAAGGTGCCTGCGGTTGAACTACGATACGCCACAGCTCGGTTTAACAATAAAAGACTTGCAACATAGTGAGAAAGAGTGAATGTGGCGCACCCTATGTGATTGGGCAGCGAATTTTTAGGTAGATCGGAAGCGAGCCACGCGCGATGGTGAGCCCAACCATTGTTTCGCGCCTCAGTCAACTTTAGACCATTTCTTTCTTCCACATCACTCGACTATAAAACCCTGCCCTACTGTCAGGACCCTTGGATACACCAGCCTAGACTACGCACAAACGCCGTCTCTGTATAAACGATTGCAACCATGGCACCAGGAAAGTGGGGTACGTCATGTTCGATGCCACTGCGCGCGCTTCAAGATGGAATCGTGAAGGCTTGGGACTAACGTATGTTGCAGACGACGAAGAAGAAGGCAGCTCTCCTCCTACCTCGCCACAGGTAGCGCCTATCGCCCGCCGCAGCAAATTTGACGACGAGGAAGAAGATGACGATGTGCGTCAGCCCACTATGCCCCGCGCTTGCACGATTCAAGCCCCGCCATACAAGGCTACATGTGCTAACTATGGACACAACAGGTACTAGATTCATGGGACGCTGCGGAGGACTCAGAAGTCGAGCGCGAGAAGGCAAAGAAGGCCGCCGAGGCAAAGGCAAAGGCAGAAGCAGAAGCAAAGGCAAACCACAAGTCCAAGGCGCAGCGGATCGAGGAGCACAGGCAGGCAGCACTACGCCGGCGGCAGATGGAAGAGGATGGCGAATCTGAAGAGGAAGAGACCGAGGCCGAGCGCCGCGAACGAATGCGCCAGGCAGAGCTTGACGCTTCGCGCGCCCAAGCCGAGGAACTCTTTGGCGACTTGAGCGTCAGCAACAAGACCCGTGCTGGCAAGGCCATCACCGTCACCGACGAGAGCAACCCGGGCAATGCTATCGACCTGTCCTCACTCTCCATCTTCAATCCCAACACAAAAGACCAGTTCACCAAGCTCCGAGAGACACTCACACCTCTGATTGCTGCCAACTCTAAGAAGGGACAGTACTCACTTTTCCTGCAGGAGTTTACCAAGCAGATCGCCAAGGACCTACCGAGTGAGCAGATCAAGAAGATTGCATCTGGCTTGACCACACTAAGCAACGAGAAGATGAAGGAGGAAAAGGCTGCCGAGAAGGGAGGAAAGAAGACAAAGGCGGCAAAGACCAAGACTACGCTCAACGCGAGCAGAGACGTTGGCGTTAGAGCAGACACGAGGGCATATGATGATGACGACTTTGGAGAGTGAGTCATGTCGAATTCCGTAGGAGTTCTAGAGGTACTAACATATGTACAGTGACGATTTCATGTGAGGCACGACGACGCTTTATATTCACACGCCTTCCCCCGTCGCAGTCTCCTCTCGAGTGCGAGACGATCACATTCTACCGAACCATCTAGTAGTCTGGAGTCGCGGATGGCGTTTTTTGGGGAATGAAAAGTCAGCGTGCGTCTATGGCAGTCTGCGCTTAGCCTATCTATCTCACAATCAGATTTTGAGACGAAGCGGCATAGGTTTGACACATAAGCGGTGCACCATAGATAGATACCAGTAGATGTCTGATTCACACAATCGAGCATGATATTACGTTCAAGTTACAACGCAAAATCGAAAGTGGACCGTATTAAGCATGTGAGTTGATGCCGGCCAATGCCGCGTCGCCAACCTCCGACGCATCGCAACGCGGGGCAACATGTGTTGATGGAACGTCATCCCGCAAAAAAATTGAAGCCGCAGGTCGGTCGCGGTAACCAGATTTACTGCACCAATCGTGGTCTTGTTGTTTGCACGCCCTCTGTACTATTGAAATGCACTTTTGAGTATCAAGTTTTTGAGGGTTCCACAGCCTTTGGCGCATCACACGTGTAGCCCGTACCCCTCCTTGAGTCACTAAGTCGAGACGCGCCTCAATCTTGTACACTACAAAACGACACACATACCCACACATCCAAGCCTGCATATCTGCTCTGACGCTGTCCGCGCATTTAGCCACGTCCACGGCAGCGACCTTGTGCCCAATTGCAATTGCCGAAGTGGACCTCGTGCCTAGCCTGTCGCAGAATTCCCCATTCAAAGCCTTGTTGAAGGGTGCACAGCGCGCGTTCGCATTCTACAAGCCCCAGCAATTGCGTGCTTGATTCAGAAGGATGGATCTCGTCAACTCGTACGTTCCGCTTGTCTCCTTTCTCCATTCTTTTCCCTACTTCTGATAAGCCTCTTCTACCACAATGGGTTACACCAATGGCGCAAGTGATATTGAGCGAATCGCGCAAAGAGCGCGCCAGGGCAGCAGGAGTCTTCCGTTCATGACTGACCTATTGGGCAACAGCTTGAACGACCGCCTGCTCTTTGCGGTGCCTAAGAGTACGTCGTCGACACACTACTAGCAGAGGTCATAGATTGACAAACATCGCAGAGGGCCGCCTCCACCAAGCATGTCTTGATCTCCTCCACGGCTCCGACATCCAGTTCCACCGACACTCGCGTCTCGATATCGCACTCGTCAAGAACCACCCGCTCGCTCTTGTGTTTCTGCCCGCCGCTGATATCCCAACTTTCGTAGGAGAGGGTCGCGTAGACTTGGGCATAACAGGGCGAGACCAAGTAGCAGAACATGAGTGCGTCGCACCGCCTACTGCTACCAGCGGTGTAGAGGAGGTCCTAGATCTCGATTTCGGAAAGTGCAGTCTGCAGGTACAAGTTCCTGCAAAGGGTGACCTGGCAAAGCCGGAAGACTTGATCGGCAAGAACGTTGTTACAAGCTTCACCAACTTGGCTGAGCAGTATTTCCGGAAACTAGAGGCCGAACAGGCCGGAAACACAAACGGAGAGGCCAATGGTGATGCCAAACTCAAGACAGTCATCAAGTACGTTGGTGGCAGTGTCGAGGCGGCGTGCGCATTGGGCGTCGCAGACGGTATCGTCGATTTGGTGGAATCGGGTGAGACAATGCGCGCAGCTGGTCTCAAGGCCATCTCCACAGTCGTCTCATCAAGTGCTATCCTCATCAAGTCGAAGCACCCATCAGACCCCAAGCTGGTAGAGCTGATCACGGCTCGGATAAAGGGTGTTATCAGTAAGTAGCATCAGATCTCTCGCGTGGCACAGCGTGGCTAACTTCTTTATAGCTGCACAAAAGTACGTCCTGTGCACCTACAACATCGACCGATCGAAGCTCGATATTGCGCGCAAGATTACTCCCGGACGCCGCGCCCCCACCGTCAACGCGTTGGAAGAGGATGGCTGGGTGGCTGTTCAGGCTATGGTGTTGAGGAAAGATATCGCTATTGCTATGGACAAGTTGACAGAGGTTGGGGCTACCGACTTGATCGTAACCAAGATCGAGAATTCGAGAACAGGAGATTAAGCGATCTCTTTGCTAAGGCTTATGGCTATTAGAACATGGCACGCGTTTATTTCACGATGCTCGGTGTGATAGATAGGAATTAAGATAGATTGAATCCATCAAAGCAAATGATGAGCCTGGTTCTTGGACTCATAAATATGAACAATGGGCTCACAGGCTTTCCAATACCTAGAGATGTCAGCTCACAAGAAGATCATTGATTTTGGCTTCCAGTCTTGTGTGTATGTGACCCAAATTCAGGTTGGTCAAGCTTATTGTATTGTGAACTAGACGGCTGCGCTGTCTGGCGCTAAGGTTGGAGTTTGACCCTTATTCCGACGCTAAGGCCCATATCCACAGAGACGAACATGTCCGGCCGGCGGAAATAGTCCGTCGAATGCTTGAGAGTGGATGTAGACGCCGACCTTCGCGGAACGCTGCGTCTTGATTGTAATGAAGAATATAATATTGATAAATTAACATTTTTCCATCAAGCATTCTTGGTCCAACGGTAGGATAATTGCCTTCCAAGCAATTGGCCCGGGTTCGACTCCCGGAGGATGCATAACATCCTTCTCCACAATTGCGAGATCTTTCTTTTTGTCGCCGGTCGTGATGGAGGACGATGGCACGTGATGACCAATCTTTTTGGACAAGCCAGAACCACACCATCTGGGGCTACTCGCGTCACACATCCGTCTTCCATGTAATTACCAAAGCAAAAGGTAAGAAGCTTTTGTGGGGCCTCGAGAAGGTCACTGCCGCACTCGGGTGTGACTGGAATGCTTACATCTGGGTACAGCCATTACAGTAGGCATCTCTTGTATGTACCCCTCCCGATATTTTGTCTGTGCAGTATAAAGTACAATAGAATGGAGGGAGACAGGTTTCGTCTGTCATTACTTGTCTCAAAATCGGTGGTGAGTCGTTGTCTAGTAAAAGGTCAAGCTGAGACCAAAAGATTGTGGTACCATTATTACCACCATCAACTTTCAATGGAACAAGCAATGAGCTCGGTCGCATCCCAGGTTTGTTGAACCGACAGCCCCGCTGGTGTCCAGTGTACAATTCGAATAGTCCCTCTCAAGCCAATACTACCCCTAGAGCAGGAGTATTATTGTATAACAGAAGATCCTGAACTGTAGCTGTGATGTTGATATTCCGGGTATTGTACTAAACTAGGAAAACCGATTGCGGAGAAACTCGAATAGTAGCCTAAAAGATCAAAAGTACTGTCACTAAACCGACGTATCGTAAAAGTTGTGAAGATTTGATTGTGACAAACTAATTACAATCTCGATATTACTGACCCACGTAGAGAGCGAATACTGTAATCACCACAGGTACAAAACAGAGCGAACAATCGTACAATAACCCATCATAAACTCCATTGCCATGCCACACTCGCTGATTGAAAGGAAGGAAGTCGTAATTTGTCATCGTTCGGTTATGCCAGGTCAATCTACTCGATGCTGATCTTTCGGGGCTGAGGAGCCTGGGCTTTGGGAACGAGGATGCTCAAGATACCGTTCTTGAGGCTAGCCTTGACGCTGTCTTGATCGACACGGGCAGGGAAGGCAAAGGATCGGTGGAACTCTCCGACTGAACGCTCGCTAACCCAATACTTTGCCTTGTTCTCATCATGCTTGGAGACGTCCTTGTGCTCGGACTGCTTGGCAACCTTGTTGTTGGTTTCGCTGGGGTCGTCCTCAACGGTGGGCTGGTGGCCGAGCTTCTTCTGCTGAGAAGGTTCGCCGTTTTCGATGAAACCCTGAGGGCGTTGGCCTTCCTCCCGGACGTGCTCGTGACGACCAGAGATGGTCAGCGTGTTGTTATCGGTCCATTCGATGTTGATGTCCTTTTGCTCGACACCGGGGAGTTCTCCGTGAAGCTCGTAACCCTCTTTTGTTTCCTTCACATCGAATTTGGGAGTGAAGGATCTGATGTTGTTGAATTCCCGGTCGATATTGCGGAAGGCTTGCCTATCATACTCATCGAAGAGACGGAAGATAGGAGCGAATTCCTGGGTGAATCGTGGGAAGAGAGACATCGTCGCTGGTGTAGTGGTAAAGTGTCGAGTAGCTGTAGTCGTAGGCTTGGTGATGCGGTTGAGTTGTTGAGGAGCTCGTCGGATAGTTGAGCGAAGTGATTGCATAGAAGACTTGTTGATCTCTGTTGTTCTGATGATGAACTACAGGAGCTGCCTCGAGGGCTATATATAATCGAGGAACATGGTTCTCGAATCATCGCAGAGTGCGGAGAACATTGGTGTTGCGTAAACCAAGATGTTGCAAGAAGCTTCGGAGATGGCTCGGGGAGTTTCTAGAGCTTTCGAACACGATGTTTGCCGTCATGTCTTCGTATGTGATCAGAAGACATCGTGAGATGAGAAGCTTCCAGTAATTAGAGGAAGTAGCCGTAATGGCATGTGCCCGGAAGATCATGTTTCGAGAGGGGGCAAGCACCAACTAGAAAGTTCAGAGTAATGGCTCAGAGCAGGTCACGTGATGGTGATGCTCGAAGTTTCCAGCGTGGAAGCAACATGTGATGCATGAGTTGTCCAAGGAACATGTCACTACCCCGCGATGGCGGAACGAGCTGCATGGTGCTGGTCTGATGAACTGTATTGATGGGTCGTTGGCTCGCCGCCCAGCAATGCGCCGCTTCGACGTGCAAACTTCGATCTGGCATTCTCCCGCTACCTGTGGATGTCTCGGATACCTGGCTCAGACCATGTTTCCAATTGATTTCTTCCTCTTCTGAGTAAGTACTCGATGGTGCCAAAATCCTTTTTACCGACGTCTCTATGCTTGTGAAACTCAGATCTACGTATCATCATCAGCCGCCACACCAACATGTTGCTCGATTCAGCTTGCCGTACCTTGCAAAATCTCGGAAATGTGACTGCGTCTCCTACAGTTGTATGAGTAGGTTGTTAAGTTGGAGGCATCTCAATAGCATACCGTTGGCTTCTGCTTCACAGCTCTTAAGCATTGTCGGTAGAGCGACAATACGTCCTTCTGAAGTCCTGATAATCGTACCATCTCGCCTAGAATCGAATGTTCCGAGTGGTTGAATGTTCCACGCTGCGTAAAGCTGCGAATGACAGCGATCTTCGAATGCAGTACAAGTGTTGGCGACCCCAGCCTTAGCCGAAGAGTAAACACTTCAAGCCCGAAGTGGCTAGCGCGATAGACTAAGAATCCCTATGATGTTAGCATCGCGTGCGCGAATCGTAGTATACCCAAGCAAACACAACAACGCATCCTAGCTGCCTTCATACCTCGCGAAGTGTCGTGCACGAAGATGGAGTATGTAGCGCCAACCTTCATAACTAAACAACTACATAGATGGCTGCGAATACGTCCTGAACGCACTTTATGCGCATGCGTCACATAAACGAGAACCGCGCGGCAGATAACACGCAATTGCCATGGAACAGTTCGCCTGGATCAAGGAATCATCGCAATAATAATTTCAGTGATATATAGGAAGCCCAAACTATAGATCACCACCAACCTTCTGTACCTGTTACATTCCATGGAAGATAGCCGTCTAGAGGCAATCAGGGCGCGCTGATGCTCTCAAGTGGGTTGAGTTTGACCTTGATATCATGCGGCCATACAAACCATTGTTTGTGAAGATCCCATTCTTTGCTCGGGTCTTCAAGCTCAATCTGCCGGAACGTCAGCTCTCGTGTATCATGTTGAAGGTGGGCAATCCATACCTTGTATCTACCGAACACCGTCGCAACTACTTTGTACACTTCAACCAGAGCTAATGGCCTACCAATACATATCCTATTTCCGCCTCCGAATGACAAGTCCGCATCTTTCATCTTCTTGATTCTGGCCTCGTAAGCGCCAATCTCTTCTTGTTCGCCTTGCAGCCAGCGCTCCGGTCGGAATTCATAGGTTTTTGCGCCGAAGACGCTCTCCTTGTAATGAACGACCCATGGATTCACACCGACAATTGTTCCAGGCGGTAATGTATCTCCATTAGGCAACGCGAGACCATTTGCAGGTACGACGCGCTCGAGAATATGGCCAACAACGGGATGCATACGGAGGCCCTCTTTGATACATGCATCGAGGTAAGGTAGGTGCTCAATTGTGGTATAAGGTGCGGGGTACGAGAGATTTGCAGCAACGAGTTCCTCGACGAGGCGCGCTTTCGAGGCTGGTGACTTGAGGATGTGGTAGAAGATAGCCTTTATCACAATGGCGAGGGTGTCGGCACCACCGAGAATCTGTAGGAGCAGAATCAGTCATGTTCTTATCGTAACATGGCTATGGGACACTCACGTTGATGATCATGTATCCGATGACCTCATTATCAGTAACAAGTTCTGGAAACTCCTTTTTTGCCTCGAGAAAGCCATTGAGGAAGTCTTTCTTCCCATCGCCAAGTTCAGGTTTCTGCATGCGTTCCATAAAGCGCTCCACGGAGAAACCGGCAGCGACAGAGAAGTCATCGAACTTGTATAGCGAGCGTGGCCAACTGGGGTTCTTTCCAAGCCATTTGTCGAGAGAGGGAATTTGACCAACCTAGATGGGGTCAGTAGAAATTCACATATTGTAGAAGCTGTGATGACTTGTCAAGCACATACTACTGAGAAGTAGCGCATCACACGTTCAGCGGTCCCAAGCATATCGCCAACATCCGTACCCTGTTCCATGAAGCCAATACGCTTGCTCCAAGTCATATCGCCCAGAAAATCCCAAGCGAAGAATGAGATCCAGTCAGCGATATCGCATGTCTTGTCCTTGTTAGCACCTTCCACGAAGCGAGCGTCAAGTTGAGTGCATAGTGTACGCAGATCGTCGTCCATAATGCTTTCGATTTGGAGGGCGTTTTGAAGACTGTACAACTTTTGAACAGGCTTGACACCTTTGGAATGGAACTCGTTGCTGCGTGTGCTGAAGATGTTCTGGATGATGTGACCGTCTTGAAGGGCATCGTTAATTGTCTGACGTGATCAGTATGATGCATAGGTATCAGTGACTGCTTGAAACTTACGTAGTAATCGCTCTGTTGTAATGTTAGCGACCATCATACATAACATTGTCACTGTACATGCTCACCTTCAAGTACGTTCCACGGGTGTTGTAAATGGTCTTGATCAGACTAGCATCAGCAACACTAACGGTGTTGGGACCAAGACGAACGATGTCGCCATGTTGTGCATGGAGTCGCCTCTGTGTTTCGATGTGAGTTTGTCCATAGTGATTCAGGAAACGCCAGATATCGGAGAATTTGGCTAAGAAGGGACCAGGTATAGTCTTGAGTGGTGATTGTAGATAAGCCAAAACATATCGAGTAATGAGAAGTATTGCTCCAAGGCCGATTGCCTTCGCAAGTAACCCCATCAATGCCATCGTGTTACCTTGCTATGTGCATGTAATGTGATTCATGAAAAGAAAAGAAGGATATAAGTGGGAGGGGTAACGAACAAGGTAATGTAAGTGACAAACTTGGAAGCTCTAGACCTACCATGCAGGCCGTCCACTTTATGGGGACTGCTGCTAAGTACCCGCATGTTCAAACTTGCATCTGATAGATGGGGAGGTGGAGCTAGAATCCAGGCGCTCCCGTTTGGGGACCGTGGTGCGCTGAAGCCGAACGAGACTTGCCAGGGTACGGCAGGGCGCCGCTTGTGTACCTCTATGGAGCAGACCTCGGGACTGCTTTTGCCCGCCACCCCTTTATCGCAATAACATGCATAACGATTGGTTGTAGCAGCCATGGTGAGTATCGGGGAAGCGGATTTGCGTGCTAGTAGGGGACTGACAGCGGGATGTGCGGAGTATCACTGTACTAACGGAGACTAAAAATGCAGGCTGCTGCCGAGTTGGAGGAGATGAAAGAAAAAAGAAGTTCGTTCAAACTGCAGGTTCGAGCGTATTAAAGCTTTGCAAAGCGTACATCACTACACCATGAAGATCTTGATGGTGCCTGCATGAGCAATATGGACTGGCACGCGTACCATAGTCCTGGAAAACAATCTCGAAGGATCATCTTCCTTCACTCCTTTCCGCACACGATGCCGGTCAGACCGAAATTGATCCGCGGGATGTCAAAACGCTACTAAGGGTCGTTTAACCGAACAGAGCTTAGCTAGTACTCGACCCCAGCGATTGCTAGCGCGGGCAACGGCCCGCCACGGAAAGGCCAAAACGTTTTTGTACCACCTTACCTGCATGTCATGGGATTGTTGAAGAAAGAATCAATTATTGAGATGCGATCTTGAAGCCGCTTGTGTAGCACGAACTGTCCAAGGTTTCGTGATGGGCCAGACTAACGCACAGCACAGGCTGCCTGAGGCGGGATTTTACGAGATAGGCCCTCCACCCACGGGACAAGGGACGACCGGCAGCGGCACACTGTGAATATCGTGTATTGATTGGGCCTGAATATCACTAGTGTCGCTGCCGAACGGTGAAGGAACGCGCCCCTGCTGCCGAGGCCGCGTCGACGTTCCAGCTGGGACAGCATTCGTCGGGGCAGGGAGCTGACCGTCAGCGAATCAGACGAAGCGGGCCTAGCTACGACGAAGCCCGTTGGACTGCGGAGCCTGTCAAGTCCAACTCGAGAAGAAAAAGCAATTGCCCAATCCTTCGCGGTCTGCAAGCTGCAAGATCCACGATATCACGGCGCGGCATATGCCAATGGAGTAACTATCCCGGCAGTGTTGAAAGCAATTTTACTCTCAACGAATCCACTGGATGTGCAAATCTACTAGTTTGCAGAGACGGGGAGATAAGGGACGGAGTGGGATCACCGTAAAGCAACAACAACCCACCAACGTCAATGTGTTACGGCCGTGAAAGTGGCATGCTTTTTCGGTGGCTTGGCATGAGTGTGTCCCCACTCGCAGTGCCTCTTTGCAGGACACTCAGAGCGACAAAGATGGCAACAAAGCTTTGACACTATGCCCCGTTCGATTGTCCATGCAGGTCCCGAACACTAGCTGATCGTTTTCGCTTGGAAGGTCGGGCCCGTTCAGTTTCCCATAGGTGTGAGAGATGTGCATTGGTCTGCTCGAGCCTCGGACGCGCTGCAGGTATGTTTGTTCTTTAGCATGGGTGTCTCAATTCGTGGGCGTAAACAAGGCTGTGAGTACGTCAGTTCACTGACACTCCTTGCCGCCACTCGAGTTGCTCATCTAGAGGATAAAGCAGTCGATACGCTGCTCATCCAAACCCCATCCTGCCCCTGGTAGCACATATCCAGCTGTTTCGTACCTGTCTTTTGATTCGGCGACACCTCTCCCAGCGATATCCTCCCCGGGGAACAGCAGAGCAGAAAGCGACGAAAAAAGCGTCTTCACTACGACCTTAGCTCTATCAGCCGCCGAGATGGGCAAGCCAGCAGACTTTGCGAACATACTCAATGGAGTGATGTGGGCTCAGGTGGTTCTTGGTACTTTTCTTGTTGCACTGCGAATGTACACGAGACAGTACATTGTCAGAAACGTTGGATGGGACGATGTGTTGATGTTGGTCAATTTGGTAAGTTACGTTGCTTACTCCCAGACAACAAAAGCACCTCTTCACAAACAATCATCTCGACATTCATCGTAAGCTTTTATGACTGACTTTTTAAGGCTACCTTTATTGGTTATGTCGGCTGTATATCGGTCGGTATTACCTACGGTGTTGGTAAACAGACAGCGGATATCGTTCGTCTTGACCTTAACTACTCCAAGTCTATCATGTGGGAAGCCATCGGCCAAGGCATATGCATCATGGGCATAGCTGCTTCCAAAGGCTCAGTAGCGCTCTTCCTCTTGCGCATCGTTCTCAAGAGATGGCATATCGCCATCCTCTGGTTCTGCATAGTCAGCACAACAGTGCTTTGCATCATTACGACAACCCTGTTATACACACAGTGCGTACCTTCGGCATTCTTGTGGGACCAGACAATCAAGGGTGGCTACTGCTGGCTCAACTTCACCGAGGTCGGCCTGACCATGGGTGCTTGGTCTGCAAGCATGGACTTTGTTCTTGCTCTCCTTCGTACGTATCTCTGCTGCGCAATGATTTCGAGGACGACACTGATTCAAACTAGCCTGGCATATCATTATGGGACTAAACATGAAGCGTAAAGACAAGATCGCAATCGCATCTGGTCTTTCACTCGGTATCTTCGCGGGTGCGTGCTCCGTTGTCCGGACTATCGAACTACAATCTCTGTCGTCCATGGAGAACTACGTATACGACACCGCTAGCATGCTTTTATGGTCCTCTACCGAAGTATTTCTCACAATTGTTTGCGCCTGTGTACCAGTCCTCCGTCCGCTTTACGTCCGCATCAGATACGGTACCCGTGGCGACTCTTCAGGCCAACACTCATATCCACTCAAAGACTACTCCAAGTCCAAGAGTAGTCGCGGTATGGATGGAAGCAGAAGGTCAGAGAAGATATACATGGGCCCCGGAGAGAGCGTGTTACAGACAACTGTTCGCATGGGTAGTGATACAGCGAGCGAGGAAACGATACTTCGGGAGAGTCACGCCAACAACGCATGGAACAATGAGCCAAGAACAAAAGATACCAACGATATCAGGATCACTACTACGGTCAGTACGAGGGACGATTATGTATAATTATGACAGGACAAATAGCACACATCAATGCTTATTTGGAAACACTTATCTGGAGCAATACCTAACGTGACGCGTGCCATCTATCGAATTCTTGACTGTTGGTACAAACCCAGCAACAAAACGCATGGACAGAGATTCTGCTACTTACACAAGCTACGAAAGCTCGCGATAAAGCTATATACCGCTAGCTCTACCGCGGATCCACTTTGTGTCAAGAGGTCTACTTGACACGAGCGACGACAGCACATCTTTCATTTGTCAAGACGGCCTTTACTAGAGCACTATGTACAACCAACGACGAAGATAGTCAGTATATTCTCTGAACTCATAGAGCTATGTAGACAGTGACACAAACACATGACGAACTCCTTGGTAGGATAGCGAACGCTTGATACATGTTGTGCGTGAGCGTTTCTTCTGCTCGGGGAGGAGTCCTAGGGAGAGTATCTGCCCGCACCGCCTTCTCAACAGAGGAGAGTTGAACGATGGACTAGTGTTTCTGGCCCCTGCCTCCGGAAGGCAATGTCTGTTCCCTTTTTTCCTTAGTACTGCAGCTGTGCCTCATCGGTTCACGGCCCCACAATTTTGCCCTGCGGAAGCTTGCAAGGGTCTTGCCGCAGCCGCAGCCGTCGCAACACTCCTCTGTAGATCGCACTCTCCCCCTCTTTGATTTTACTTTTTGAGCACTTTTTTTTCTACAAATCTACAAGGTGTGCTGCAGTAAAATCTGCAAACAGTATGTTCCCCGCCAGCTCATCGCGTTCCCCGCTCGGGAGGAGTGAAATCCGTTCCCACTTCGGGTCGGGTCATCACCCTCCAAGGCCCTCGAAGAGCTTTTAGATAAGGACCGTTGTGGCTTACCACAAAAGCTGCATGACTGTGGAGAGTGAGCTCCATTTTGCTTATGTGATACTCCGACCTACTTCTTAAGTGATCAGCAGCACTGTCTAGTCGGAAACTCCCGGACACAGTTTAGCATGAAGCTTGAGCGTGTGCGTTGCGTCGACTTCCTCCTCACAAATGTACAGTCGCCTTGATCTAGTGTGTTTGGAGACGCGAATTGGTTGACCAAGATGTAGAGGAAGAGATGGAAGATATGCAGTTGTTGTTTGCTCGCATTCGACTGTGAGCGATGCGCTTGGGTGGCAAATAACGACGAGGCAAAAAATGTTCACGACAACGAGGAAAAAGTCCCAAGATCTGTTGCCACCAAAGCGACTGAGAAAACATGTAGCAGTTTGACAGTACAACAGGTCGATATATAAAGATAAAATTCCTTCTCAACAGAGAACACTCTTCGATAGTCACGTGGACACCTCCTAAACACTGAGATAGTTAAAATCCCTTAGAGAGTGCAGGAGTTTGTGTAACGCACAAGTTCAGCCGCATCTTCGTTCTTCCCAACAGTCCGATTGAGTTGCGACCAAGATCCGGGAGAGACCGGTTCCACGTCCTTCACACTACGATCCTCTCTGTCCGTCAAGGCTCGAGAGCAATGCGATGGTGTGTAGCTCACTGGACACCACCCGTGCTGTTCCGGATGGCGACTTGGGTCATGTTCTTCCTGTGTTTCGGGCTCAACAGTAGTTGATATAGATAGTCGGCGGAGGTCTTTCGCTCTATCAGCATGTCTCAGGATAGAATTCGGCAAAGCTTCGCTCATACGAAAAAATTTGTAAGCGAACTTACTGTTGACTGATCTTTGACGTTGGAACTCCTTGTACTCATGTGACGGAAGATACGCGCCACATCCTGTTGGAGTACATGCGCGGGATGTGGGTGATTCATCTGCAGCGCTACTTCCTGGGTCAGGTCTTGCTCGAGGGTAGGTGTCCAGGGATATTGGTGTGGAAACAAGGTCGCTATGCATGGCTTCGCCGTCGGTGAGCTCGAGCCTACTAGGCCAAGGCTCATGCTTTGAGAGATCAAGATGAGCACCCATGCAGCCCAGCTCTGTCAGATCAAGCCGTTTATCTGGGACTGGTGACTGTCTTCTAGCTCGAATATCGCGACGGAATTGGTCCTCGCGGGCTTGGATGCGGTCTGGGCGAATATCCGATTCCCCATCACTAGACACCATTCTGTCCACATGTGGTGAGACGATGCAGGATGTGAGATTCGCAGGTAAAAAAGATGAGAGTGATATGAAGGAATGGTGGTAAGAGTACCAGGCAAAGCGACAAGATGATGGACCAGGGTGTCTACTGCAGCTGAGATGATATTGCTTGCGAAGATTGCCAGCACTACGAAGTGTTTGCAGAAACATCGACAAGACTGATCAGACATGGGTATATATACGACTTAAGAAGCGGCTATAATGTGCTGGCGGCTCGCATATGCTTTTGCGTGGTGGGTGAATCCCTAATCGTGCTTCCGACACTCACTCATGCAGATCAAGTTCCCACAGGAACATGAACAACGAACGTTCCAGCAAACCAGAAGATTCGGAGAGACCGTGAAACAGTGTGAGCCAGGATTCGGGAGTAGGTCTATCCTCCGAAACGTCTTTCTTCGCGGACGACCTTACCGTATGCGACGAACGGTAGCCCTGCAGCAAGGCGCTAGTACTCGTTCGCTCCTGGAAATAAGGCTTCAACGGCAGCGCCGGACTGACACGACAGCATTCTCGAAGCTTTTGACACAGGAGCCGTGCGCCTTGAAGCGTCACTGCCGTGAGCCGTTTGCTTCGGCTCGCTCTAACCTATTAGGCTCGTGGTCAGCCCATGTCAGGGCTCATGTGGTCTGCGACGAAGACGGATAGGATCAGGATGCCTGTATTCTATCCGCCGCCAGTAACACACGGGTATACCGACGCCTTTGCAAATTCTGGGGGCCAAGACATCGTGTTTGGATCCTGAAGCCTACATTCATCCAAAAACGTGTGAACCACCGGCAAGAATTAATGAAAGCCTTCACCGCTTGTCCTTCTGTTTATTACCGGGTTCATACGCTAACTGCAAACGTTCGGAGAGACTGTCGATCCATTATTATCATAGTGTGAATAGAATTAACACGATGGTGGTACAGTTCGTGCACCCTGCCGTCCCAGTCCATTGGAGTGGGTGGTGGCTGCATAAGCGGAAGGCACATACGTCATGACAAGACATGGTGGAGAATCACTGGCCGGATAATCCGTATAAGTTAAGATCTCTGTGGGTCAACAGTAGCAGGGCAAAGACCGCAGATGGCGCGATAGCATGAGCCGATGCCTAGTTCGCGATATTGCGACACTCAAACCAACAGAAGGAGCGCACGACCTTTCTATTCGGGTCCATTTGAGGTACTGAAGTGGAGGTAGAATCGCGAAAGGCTACGGATGCGGTGCAATGATACCCAATCGTTTCCAGCATCAACTCATGAGATGTCAGACGAAGTAGCGGTAAGCTTCTCCAGTTGACGTTGGTGCTCACCGGAAGCAAGGCATCTGACCACTGAACAATATGGGGGAGAGATAATTCCTGCTATTCCAGATACTGAACTTGGATTCTTCTATGGCGTTGCGGTGTGCCGAAATTTATTCTACCAACGACTATTCGGACGTGTTGCACAATTTGGGCAATGGTCTACCAGGGTAGTAAACAAGCCTTAAGACTTGGCTGCATGCGGCGTGAACCGAGTTCGTGCCACGATAACCGCGCCTGTCACAAGGATAGACTCGGTAACCACCCGTACGTCTCAAGCTAAGGCATATCTAATCTTATCAACAACGCCGGGTCAGAGACGACTGTCTACCAGATGGTTGTGCTACGACCTAATGAGCTTGAATACGGGTTTGCTTCTACACACTGTCCCTGTCTTCCAGCACCCTAAACAAGAAGAAGACTCGTCCGAAGTCCTTGTCATCTAGGAGACCAGACCTTATAGAGTAGCTGCGCTGTGTTCGTGCTAAACACTATCCACTAGGGTCATGATATCAATGCGGGGTCGGACACGCCGACCTTGTCAGCCTTGCCGGCACGTCGTTGTACAGGGTTCCTCCCGCTGCCTGTCTGGGGAATGAAAAAAAAAAACGCGAACAGCGACCACAGTGGGGAAAGGGCTGTGGTATGAATTAGATCGGCAACGGCGAGTCCGAAGCTTGACGCCAGTTGATGCGCTATCACAACTGCAGCGCATAGTGCTCCAAAAAGCTAAACGACGTGTTCACGATGTATTTGTGATGAGAGAACACAATGCACCATCGTGGTGAAAGATGGCGGTGGCCAGGGTGAACGGGGCCAGTGTCGGACCTAAACACGGTGCAGCTAGATATGAACTTCTGGAGTCGTTAGAAGTCGAGATTGATGTTTCTACCGAGAGGTGATTCTGCAGCGGCATGACGTCAGCATTACTGTTGTAAACACGGACAATCACCAAGTGCAAGAACAACTATATACTGTCTTCTCTCTGATACGTTTAGGAACTAAACAGTAAAGTGCAAGTAATGTATGATCATGCCGGAAGAGACAGAAATGACAACACTTACTTATGACTCTTGCATTCTATGACTAGCTGTTTTTCCAATCTCCTACCCACCTCTTCGCGATATGTCTCGTCCAAAGTTTTCGAAATAAGCGTTGAGTGTGTTCGCTCGATCCATTGTCGCTATACTGTTTGTGAACATCCATACACCAACAACCAAATATCACAACCCTGGACGGGATACGCATTCCTTTGGGCTCGTTACATTCCAGCGCCATATCAATTTTCGACACCGTGCACAATCCTATAGCGACGCCAAGTTCACTTCTGTGACTCAATCAATTGACAACAACGAGCTCTTTTCGACGTGCTTTTGCTCTACGTGCTTTGACTTTTCGACGCGCTCTCTGTTGAGCACGATTGTGCTTCTCGATAAGCTCCAACGTGTGATCGGTTTACAACTCCTGAGGGAAAGTGACCGGGTTGCGCCAGTAGTCCATAGGAGACCCTATGGAGAACTGAAGCCAGGACTCATCCGCCACGCTTCCATAGACACACATCGTATCGAGTGACACTGTACCATTCTTCATGAATGCGCGTTGTGTTAGCCCGCAGCCTGGACACAGCTGGCCGATACGCAGTTCGCCGTTTGGATGCCGGGATAGGTCTATGACGCCAATCTGGAGGATATCGGAGCATGCAAATATTTTTTTCGGAAAAGACAAGGCCCCATGCTCGACACGTCAGATTTTTGAAGGAGTGAGCTCCGCGGAAGTGAATCAAGGTGTTTTCGGTGCCGCATTTGCATAAGAACGCTCCGTCCGCAACATTCATACCGTGGTTTCGGCGTGTGATGTTCGGGGTTTCCTGGTCGTACCAGAGACTATCATCTGGGATCCCTTCAGCACGACGTGCTTCCCTCAAGTCCTTTCCAGCCGAACAGCAGATTTGGGCTTGTTCGAAGTGCGGAGAAGCAATCGGATGGTGTTGACGACGTGTACTAGCATTTTTTGTGTTGGTGGATTGTATATTGGACGATTATTTCGTTTGTTTGTTGTCGTCTGTGTTGGTTTGGGGGCCATTTTAGTGGATACATGATGATCTGTTGGCTGATAGGAGGTTGGGAGAGTCAGGGAAAAGCAAGTCATGTGCAGAAAGTAAGTATTGTAGCAACTTGAAGTGTACCATTGTGTAAAGTCAAAATTCGGCATTTTCAGCTAGGCCTCTTCTAATGAGACATTGGCCCATACTATCAGGATGTCGTATAAGGTATTAATCATCATTTGCGCCCTGATATGAGCACCTGTAATATCACTCAGAAGCAGACATACGGGCTAGCATAGAAACGAGGTGTTAGACCATTGGATAAGGCTGGTCTAACAAGTGGTCGCCAATTGGATAAGTTTTCTGGTACACCAAGCTACCCCTAACCCCTAGAGTCCATGTCTACAGTATTTGTTTTTTCTTTTGATGTTTTCACTAAACACTAGAGAACAAATAAACAGTCCTGTTACATTGCAGTCCCCAGAGTCACCCGTTTACTGGTGCGCAGGCATGGTTGTAGACTAATAAGAATAGCTTTCCGTGAATGAAGTGTTGCGGTTTGCCTATGCTTGGGGCTGCCGCGCGCTCACAGCGTAGTAAAATTTGATATCAGCGATAGCACTCAGTGCCTCGGTGGTGTATGAGATAGCATTAGCTAATGCGTAACACCACAAGGTGTTGGTACTGTTCAGGGTCCTTTTACTCATCTTCTAAACAACCATCGAAGACATGTGTGCACGACACCATTCTCATTTTGTGTCTTACAGACTATCCGTCTCCACTCTTGTCGAGACCTTGTCTTTCTTCAGTCCGGTAACAGTCTCCACGTGATCCGTCCCCAATACCGCCGCCTTTATGAACAGACTCGCTGCAAAACTCAAGAAAGCAAATACCGTGTAGGTGATCCACATGTTGCGCATCGCGTACGCGAAGGCTTGTTTCGCGGCAAGCTCCCATGCTGAATTTTCGAAGGTAGCAGGAAGCATAACATTGGCCATCGCACTATCGCCATCAAGCTGACTCAAGAGGTTCTGTGGCAACCCGGCGTCTCGGAGGAACGAAGCGCGGTTGTTCATCGAATTCTGGAAGATGGTGCCACCGATTATGGTTGAAATCGAGACGCCGATATTGCGGATAAAAGATAGAGTTGCAGTAGCACTTGCAACATCATGCTGCTCAACCTGACTTTGGATAGCAATCATAGGCGCTTCGAATAGGATACCGGATCCTAGGCCACCAACTATAACAAGGCCGACTGCTTTAGCTGTCGATGTGTAGGCATCGAAGGAGATAAACAGGCCAAAGCCAACGGTGAGGAGAAAGGTACCGACCCAGATTATCTCGCGGAAATGTCCCGTCTTATGCATTATGAAGCCACAGAAGACTCCCGCGATTGCGCCTGTGACGATGAAAGGGAGAAGAAGCAGTCCAGATCGTAAGGGCGAGGCTTCGAGGACGGCCTGGAAAAACAGTGGTAGATAATACTCTCCTGCAATGAAGACGAAGCCGTGGAAGAAGACAACAAGGAAAGCGGCGATGTTTGTCCTTCGACGGAATAACGTCATGGGAATCAAAGGATACTTCGCCACTTTGGCCTCGCTGTAAACGAATGCAAGGATCATGGCTCCGCCCACT